CACACAGCATCGTGGGAAGATGTCAATACCTGGATCTGCTGCAGATGTAAGTGGATTTTATACTTAGCTCTCCTTACGTGAACCAGTCAAGTATGGGTGCCTTTTGAAGATATTTCAGAACGTGGGATGTCCTGTCTATTTAATGACAGCAGGGCTATATTGAACTGGATTTTTGTTTTTTAAGAGAGACATTCCGTGCTTGTGTGGATCATATCGTGGAGACATGATGTAATATAATTGGTGATGATGGGGTTAAATCCGTAACTAATGTTCACCCCACTGTACTTCCCATTAACCCCAGAAGATGGCCCTGTTCCCTTTTTCCACCAACAGGGTTAATAATGTAACCTACTCTACAAATTATGAGTTTAAATACATGCCTGGGCTGATCACGATGTAGAATGTGAGAAGGGTGGTTGGTTAGTGTAACTAAAACATGGTCATTTAATTATTGGTATATGTGACTTCAGAAACTCAAGCATAGATAAGAGTACTGAATTTCACAGTCAACTATCACATGGGCAAATGACTGGAGAAAAAAAAAGAACTCGTGATGTTATTTTTAAATAATTAAAAATCATCAAAAAAAAAAATCTAATAAATTGGTGAAGAGAAATCTAAAAGTTATTAGGAACCAGCGCACCATCGAGAAGATAAAGGATGGAGGATGGTGACAATCTAACTATCTGTCAGTCTGTCCAGTGTTGGGTGCGAGAAAGGACAATGGAAAAGTAGGCAAGAAATTGAGTACTATAGAGAATATTCATGAGTGGGACCTACAGGGAATCTCTCATGGTGTAAATGGACAGGGTAGAATATCAGATGGTACTGCCCTGATATGAGCTTAACCTCAATATATTTAGCTGCAATGCTTTGAGAGAAGTAGGACATATGGGCTTACTGATTTCCTCGATGGCGATGGTCCCTTCTCCGAACATGTTGACAGCTGAATGTACTATCTTGCGGTGAAATTTCCAGCTTGGGCTGTAGTCTGCAAAGGCAATGTCTTTTCCATTCCTTGATAAAATATTAGTTGTTACCTTTAAAACATAATAAATATAGGTGTCATTTGGGTGTTGCTCAACTTTCATTATGTTTTTCATTGAATGTTTTTTTTTAAAAACAATTATTTTTATTAAAAAGAAAAAGGAACTATACTGACAACTGTCCACAAAATCTTGTAATGATCACGTAACACAACATTCATTGGCTACCAAAAATATGAGCAAAATTGTGAATAGCCCTGGTAATGCATTTTATTGAGATGGTCCATCCTGTATCCAAGCTCAAATTCCATACGATCCACGTGCCTGAACAAATTTTACAATTATTGAAACTCTTAAATAGAGTGAGTTCCCATGATGGGGTTGCAATAATTTTAGTATATTCCTCCTACTCTTGATATTGTTTATACTTTCTTTCATCTCTTGACTATGCCTGTGTAATTAAAACAGCTTTTTCTGTGATCATTTTTATTATTTTAAAGCCTGAATTTAAAGACTGTCCTTTGGAGATAGAGCTACATCGCAATTATCTTTCTTGTAGAAACCAGCTGAAGATGAATCATAGTGATCTGCAGGAAGCCACAGTAATTTTCATGTTTTTAAAATGACATTATCACCATCTGGGGACGTTGCAGAATTCACAAAGACCCCTGATGGGTCTAGAGGGTGGGGGCAGGTAAAGTGAGTTCTAATTACTTGAACATGTCCTCTAGTGGCGCAGCCATCTTTCTCTGGCGTCCTGCTCAAACGAGCTTACAGTCTAGAGGAGGTGATATCAAGGAGCATCCCACATATTCAGCCCAACGCAAATAGTAGTTTTAAATTTCTCCATTGCATGCAAAAAGAGAGCTACGCTAAATGCTGAAAATGGCTCTGCATCTGGTTTTGAGCTGCTCAGGACTTGTGCATGACATCAGCATTAGTGAACATACACTATCTCTGAATTTTCTGCACAGCTTTACATTGGGAAAAATGGTGGTTTGGATCAAAAGTCACTTACATTAAAGGACCACTATAGTGCCAGGAAAA